TACAGAAGTATTGTAAGAATCATCCCCCTGAGTGTGCAGGGTTTGGGGTGATGCCAGTCTGGAGGGGGCTGCCAGCCAGGGGACAGGACTCACCGTGCAGCGGGTGTGAGACAACCCGGGACACACACTGCATCATCATCTCGTGGGATGTCTGGGAAGGGAGGAGAACACACCTGTGAGAAAAGCTGTGCTGCTCCTCCTGCACAGCCCAGGCCCTTCCCCTCAGAGTGGGGAAACATGTTTTGGGTCCCTCTCTTGAGATTTGTTCTTGTGGTAAACTTCTACTCCTGTGAATTATTTAACAGATGGACACAGAATGACCACTAAACTGATAGACAAACAAATCCACAAACGTCTCACCACAAACTTCTCACCCCAGATTCTCTCCAAGTAATCTCACCCACGTCCCCAGGGATGTCCCCAACCACTCATGACTGGGCAATATCCACTTCTCACCTCTCTGACCACTTTCCTAAGTGAAGTTTTCACATCATCCCTGTTAGACACGTGCTCCATGTCTTCCAGTGGAAAAGCCTGAGTGGGGAGGGAAGCAACATGCTCAGAACTGATGGAAATGCTGACCAACAATGTCTGAGGACAGGGGGAAACCACAAAAAGCTGTGCTCTAGATGCAAGGACAAGACAACCAGGCAAAAGGAACACAGGAGAAGAAAGGATGGAAAGTAAAATAGAGGAATAGCAGAGTCACAAAACTGCTGACAGAGGATACGAGGCGCAGAGATGCCAAATCAAATTAAAAAGGTTTATAAATTAAAAAATACTTCAGGGATAAGGGCACTGGAGGACTATTCCCTTAGGAGATGGAGAGGGATGGGTGCATCAGTCTTCCTGTGCAGCCCTTGCTACAGAAGCACTGACCCTGCAGGTGATTAACAGAGAGAGAAGCTGACCTTTACCTTCTTCACACTCCCCCTGGTGATGGTTGATAAAGTGCTTGAGATGAGGCGAGGAGTCAGGCCACGGAAGAGGCCTCTCTTCCCATCCACTTCCACGATGTGTCTGGCTGGGTGGGACAACACCAGGCTGCTGTCAGTTGGGAAGGGGACAGTGCCTGGAGAGCACCCCAAACAGCCCCAGGGTTCAGCTGAAACCATGCCAGGCTCAGCTCGGCAGGGCAGCCACTCCACGGCCCCACAGTAAGTGATTTATTGTAACAGTCCTAAAGAAACTTCATACTGGAGGACAAGAATTCTTACTGTCATCTGCCTAATCTGGAAGGACAGCTCCAATATTTTGGGCTACTGTTTGTCTTTTGATGGTTTTGCTCACCTGAAAGGGCTCCAAGGGAGTTTGGACTGAACCAGGCAGGGGGGATCATCCCAGGTGCTCTGTGCTGTCACCTCCTCCCTCCACCCCAGGAAGGTCTGACTCGGGGTTCATATGGACCTCACAAACCCATGTTCAGTTCCTGCCCCACCACCTTCTCCCAGGCAAACCTCCTCAGGTCTCTAGTTGCAAAAAAAAAAAAAAAAGCCCAGAGATCCTATTTCTCCCACATATAACAAGGTGGGATAAAACCCACTATGTGCTGGTGGCTACTGACTGCTCCTGGCCCCTTCCTGTGCTGTCCAAGCAAAGCCAGGTGGGCTCTGCACCTCTCCATCACCCAACATTGCCCATCTCTTTGGAAATTGCATCTTCCAAAGGGCAGCACTGGAGTATTTCCAGCCCTAGGTGTCCCAGGATGGGCTTCCAGGGCTCTCATCCTGCTCCTGTGCTGGTTCCACCCCATGGATAACACTGGCTGATTTTGGGATTGGCCCAGTCAGCTGTCAGCTGTGCATTCCCCTTCCCCACAGCAAACCTGCACTGAGAGCAGGTCACAAAGTATTCACCCACCTCTCCATGATTCTCCACCCACAAAAAGAGGAAAATACTAATTTTTTTTCCTTCTAAACATATTACCTGCCCTTTTCTTGGTATTTCTGTCCCTTTAGGGCTCCATCTACAACACACAAATGAGCAGGGCAGGGGGCAGGTTATTCCAGGGCTGTTTTGGAGCAGAAGGAAAGTATTTTGCAACCTCCAAAACACACAAAAACCTCCTGCAACAAGCCTAGAGCACCTAAAACCCCCCCAAACCCCTCCACCACGGTGCAAACGCAGAGCAATGTGCCACAGGAACACGATGCAGCACCAACAACCCCCTGTCCCCAGCAACAGGTACATAAATCTGACAGCCTTGCAAGGAGTTGTGGTGGTTTATGCCTCACTGCAGCCTTGGGATGACCCCAAGGGGATGTGGGAGTGCTGCTGGGGGTCAGCTCAGGCTGCCTGGCAGCTCCCAGCCCCGGTTCCTCAAGGGCAGGACCTCGTGGTGGCAGGGAGGGACAGTCACTCACCGTAGGTGAAGAAGCCAGGCATGTACAGGACCTTCCTTCCCAGCACATTTCTTCCAATGGTTGGAGGCAGTGGCTCATGGCCAACCTGAGACAGAAAGCTCGTGAGCAGGTCTCTGCTCTGGTGTTGCCAAAGTCCCTGGGATGAACAGGATTGATCCCAGCATCTCCCCGTCACTCTCAGGCACTCCTTTCCTCTTTTGGGGCCCCTAGGTTACAGGGGGTCCTCCACCCTCCCATTTTGCGGGGTCCCTGTTACTGAGAGGGTTTTGGGGCTTCCTATTCCTCCTTGTATGGGAGGCCCCATGGCAGAGGGGTAATTTTATAGGGGTTCCCAGTGGGTGTCCCCATTCCCTGGCATAGGAGGGGTCCCAACACCCCACTGCAAAGGAGCCCCCACTGTATGGGGGCCTCACCCCTCCATTATATGGTGTCCCTTATCCCCAATATAGGGCGCCCCTGTTGTAGAAGGCATCCTCACTCTCCTATTATACAGGACCCCATTTTTATATAGGCTCCACCAGTGTATAGGGGATCCCATTCCCTTACATATGGAGCACTCCATTACCCAGATGTCCCTCATTCTTGAAGTGCTCAGGGGGTCCCATTATAATGGGGGGGGCTGCCTGTACAGTGACCCCCAGGGCATGGAGGCCTCCATAGGGGCACGAACCAGGAATCTACTTCCACAAGTGACACTGGGGTCCCAATCCCCATCACACACAGGGACTATACCCCTTTACACATGGAGGTCCCCCATTCTATAGGTGTCTGAGGCCTCCATAGGGGCACAAACCAGGAATCCACTTCCACAAGTGACACTGGGGTCCCAATCCCCATCACACACAGGGACTATACCCCTTTACACATGGAGGTCCCCCATTCTATAGGTGACCCCATTCTGTAGAATGCCCACATTGCACAGGGGGTCCCACTGTAACGAGGGGCTGTATATATACATACATATATATACACATATATATACATATATATATGTGTATATATATACACACACACACACACACATATATATACATATATATATAGCCCTAGCACATGGGGGTTTCCATAGGGGCCCTGCAGGAATCCAGCTGCTCCCGTTGTACCGGGGTCCCGATGCCCCGTTACCCATGGGACCCCATCCCGTTAATTACACTGAGCTCCCCGCTTCCACAGGTGCCCCCCGTGCTATAGGTGCCCGCACCGCACAGGGGGCCCCGTTATACAGGGGCAGGGCTGTACACACAGTGACCCCCAGCGCACGGAGGCCTCCACGGGAGCATCACCCAGAAATCCTCCCGTTATCCCGGAGTCGCCACCCCCGTTACACACCGGACTCCCCCCGCACCGTCCCGCTCCCCCCCGAGCGGACCTGCACGAGCAGCTTGACGTAGAGCAGGGGGTGGCTGGCGGCGGCGAGCCCCGCGCCCAGCAGCACGAACAGGCCCTCGGCGCCCTCAGGCCCCGCCGCGTCCGCCGCGCCCCCGCCAGGCGGCGACAGCGGCCCCGGGGGCAGCGCCGCCACGGCCGCCATGGCTCGCGCGTCACCGCGCCGCGCGCCGGCCGCCACCACCGCCGCGCCGGGCGGGGGAGGAACCGCGGCGGGAGGAACCATTGCGGAGGGGGGGAGCCCGGCATGAGGGGCGGCGATGGCGGCGGGGAGAGAGGGGCGGGAGAGGCGGGAAAAGGAGAAGGATTTTAGGGGTTTGTGGAGTTGGGTGTTAGTGCCTGACCGGGTTTGTGAGCGCACGGCAGAGGGGTTTGGGGAGAGAGAAAAGATAAGTGGAGTTAAAGGAAGGGAAGGGAAGGGAAGGGAAGGGAAGGGAAGGGAAGGGAAGGGAAGGGGAGAGAAGAGAAGAGAAGAGAAGAGAAGAGGAGAGAAGAGAAGAGAAGAGAAGAGAAGAGGAGAGAAGAGAAGAGAAGAGAAGAGAAAAAAAAGAAAAGGAGCTCTCCAGTCCCGGTTGCAGCACTGGTCTGGCTGATGGGATGGATGTCCAGGCTCCTGGGGCACAAGCTCTGGGATGGGTTGTTTCTCAGGTTGTTTCTCATGCACAGTGCACTGTCTCAGACCTTTCTGGAAAAGTGTTGCCCTGCCTCCACATGGGCCTTTCTCCAGCCACGTCTTGTTCTTTCTCAGGGTTATCACCAACAATCCTTGTGTGTTGTTACCAGCAGTCCTGGGCTGGCCCCACAGCCGTGCAGCTGTTGGTGTTTGGGGCAGACACGCCGGCCCTAGCTGGGCACCAGGCTCCTGCCAGCCCATTCCTGGCCTCTCCAGCCATCCGGACTGCCCAGACTCCCACCCTGAAGCCCACCCTGGTGGCACACAGCCCACCCTGGTGGGACACAGCCCAGCCCACCTGTGCTGCTGGTGTCCCAGGTCACACCTGCCCTGCACCATCCCCGCTGCTGCTCTGGCCTTGGCTGTGCCACCGCTTGGGTCCCTCCCAAACTAAAGCGATTCCCAGTGTTTTCTCAGCATTTCTCCTACCCACAAACTGCTGTGGTTCCTCTTTCCCTTCCCTTTTGAGGCCAACCCAGAGAGGGCAGCGGGTGGGCTTTGCCTCGTGCAAATCCTCGTTCCCAAACTGCAGCCAGAAACACTTCAGAGCAGAGAGGGGCACAGAGGAAGGAGCTGCAGCCCCCAGCACCTGCTCCTGGAGCTCCTGGACACCCAGGACCTGCTGCCAGCCCGTGCCATGGAGGGGAAGGCAGATAATCAGCAGAGCGTGGTGGAGTTGGTGGCTGCGTTTGAAGAGCACTGGTAAGGCAGGAGGGCTCTGGGTGCTGAGGGTTATGGCTCCACGTGGAGTGAGTTTGGGAAGGAAGAAACCCACTGTGGAGGTGGTTTGGATCCTGTGGAGAAGCTGACAAGGTGATTTGCAATTCTTCACCACTCAGGTCTGCCTCAGTGTCTTCTTCCCACTGCGGGTCATGAGCAAAATCTGAAAACCTCAGTGGGTGTGAGTGGTTCTGCCTGGCTCAGGGTCAGGCTGTGGCAGCCATCCCCCACACCCAGCATCTTCACACTCAGCCTGGCTGGTGCATCCTGCTGCTGCTGCTGGGGAAAGGAATCCTGGTTTGCAAATATATAGGCAGGGGATGTCACTGGGAATTAACTGACTGGGTGTCTGGGAGGGTCCCAGCCTCAGACTGTCCAGTTGTTTGCAGAGATGTGGCTCCAAGGAAAGGAAACAGAAATTATGTTAAGGGAGAGAGAGAATTCCTTCCATAAAGCAGCTCCTTCCTTTGGAGTGTGAGCTGGGACCCTCAGACAGGGTGTGCTGGGGTCTGAGCGAGGGGATCTGCCCTGGCTCTGGTGTAAAACTAATTCTGAGGCTTCAGGTGAGTTATTGTCAGGACTGTGCCTCACTTTCTCCACCTGATGGATCAAGATATGGAAGCCTGCCATTCCTTGTTCCATGAGATGCTCTCAGTGAGCCTTGGAGGGGCTGGGTGGTTGGGCAGGTGAGTTTTGCAGCAATTCCTGAAGATGCTCAGGCACGAGATTTCCTTTCATTTCAGGAACTCCTGCATCTCTGCTGTGTGCTTTTCCCCAGGCTTTGTGGTTGTCCCCATCATCCCACAGTGATGTTGTGTTGGAACCACTGCAGTGTTTGATCTGCTCCCATGTCACTGCTGCAGTGTGTTTGTTGTTTGCCCTGGAGTGTGAGTTTGATTTAGAGGAAATAAAAGTAACTTGAGACTTTCAGAGGAAGCTGGGGAACCTGGGAATGAGCAGAACATTTTGGAGCAGACAACGGTTTGGCCCAAGTCAGCATAAATAGAAAGAGAGAAGTTCCCTGTTGGGACTCAGCTGTGGCTTTAGGCTGACACAGGTTTGGGAGGCACCAGGAGAAGTGGAAAAAGCCTCTTTGTCTCTGAAGGGTTCTGCCAGCCCCCCTGAACAGGAGGGGATTTGTGCATGGCTGTGGAAGCACTCCTGAGCTCACAGACATCCTGAGCATGGGATGGAGCTGGCATCCTCTTCAGATGAGTTTCTAGCTTTCAAGTCACTTCCTATCCTCAGCTTTGCAGTTTGATGTCCAATTTCTTCATGTCTTTCCCTTCCCATCCCATCCATCCCACTCCTGTGTGCAGGCCAACAGTGGATGTCTTTCCACTTTCTGCCCAGAGCAGTTTCCTGCAGTGACCAGCTCTTGGATGACAGACAAGTCACTTGCTGTCACCTTCATGGCCTGGCTTCTCCCTCATGCCCGCTCTGGACCTGCTTTCTTTGTCTTTGCCAGAAAAGGGAAGAAAGAATGCCACCAAAAACAACCTGTCTGCAAAACCACCCACACATGGCCTGCTCTTGGCTCAAAACTCTTGGCTATTGGGCTTCTCCCTGCTTTTCTCCATGGTGGCAGCAGGCAGAAAGCCAGAGCTGTGGGTGGGATAAACAGCAGGATCCTGCTTTTCTACAGCAGGAGAGGGACTGGGCACAGCAGCAGGGGGCTCTGGGAGAAGAGAGGCTGGATCCTGGCCCCGTGGAGGATGCTGAGGATGTTTGTACTGCAGGGCTGGAGTGGAGCAGAGCAGTGTCAGCACTGGACAGCTGCTGCTCTTGTCCCTTTTGGTGGCTTTAAGCTGGGCCTGGGGAATGGCTGAGTTGATCACATTCCTTTGTAGCAGGGACAGCACATCTGCCCAGAGGGACAAGCAGGCAGGCAGGCAGCCCCAGCAGCTTCCAGCATTCCCTGCCAGCCAGAGCCACTCCCTGACCAGGAAAGAGAATGAGGAGGAGGAGAATCAGCAAGGTCAGCGTGGACTCAGCTTCAAATGCCTCCGTTCTCTGCGGAGCAAAATCCGTGAGGACAACTGGAGGAGGCCACAGGGCCCAGGCCTGGAGCCTGGCAGCCAGGTGAGCTCCAGAGGCTGCTGGGTGCCCTCAGTCAGGCAGGGCTGGCTCGAGGTCTCATCTTTGCCCATGAGACTGAGCCCTGCTCCCCATGCAGGAACCAGAGGAAAAGAAAATCGCTCTGGAGCTGCTGGAGACAGAGCAGGCTTATGTCAACCGCCTCCACCTCCTTGACCAGGTGAGCTGGGGAGTGGAGGGACCAGTGCAAGGGGATTTTGGAGGGATTGAAGCTGTAAAAATGAAAAACACTTGGGCTGCTGGTCTTTTCAGCCGGAGATTGGGCTTGGCCTTTGCCTTTTCTGCACCCCACACCTCTGGGAAGCACCCTTGTCCCAGCAAATCCTTCCATCCCCCTCTCCTCTTGGAGCCTGGGATTTTCCTCCTGCACAGTCAGGCCTTTCACTGGGTGATGTGCCTATCCCAGAGAGGGAATGGGATCCTCAAGCATCCTCCTGGCCCTTTTTGTTCACCCTTCTTTCTTCCAGGTGTTCTATACAGAGCTGATGAAAGAAGCCAAAACTGGGAAGACGGTCCCAGAGGAGGTGGTGAAAATGATCTTTTCCAACATCTCCTCCATCTACCAGTTCCACGCTGAGTTCTTCCTGCCAGAGCTGCAGAAGCGCATGGAGGATTGGTGAGCTGCAGGAGGGGAGGGCAGGACACCTGGGGGGCTTGGCCAGAATGGGGGAGCAGCACTGAATTCAGGCTCCCACCAGGACCAGAGCTCAGCCTGTTTTGCTCCAAGTGTCTTTTGCTGGAAAACACTTCCTTGAAATGCTCAGATCAGAGTAGGGAAAGCTGGGTGACATCTCCGGTGGTTTGAGGGTGTGCCTGGGTATGAACAGCCCAGGCTGGCTGCAAGGTGGGGACATTCCCCTTCTGGAGAGCAGGAAACAGTGTGAGGATGTAGCAGCCTGCAGCAGGAAAACCTCAGTCCTCCACCGTGGTCCTTCAGCTCATCCCTCACTGTCTGTCTGTCCTGAGGAAGCTGCTGGTCTGTGGTTCCCTCCTGCAGGAACCACAACCCCCGCATTGGGGATGTCATCCAGAAGCTTGCACCCTTCCTCAAGATGTATGGGGAGTACGTGAAGAACTTCGACAAGGCCGTGGAGCTCATCACTACCTGGTCAGAGAAATCACCCCCCTTCCAGGAGCTCATTGCTGACATCCAGGTAAGGCAGAGCTCCCAAAATCTCCAGGGAATGGGGAAACAGCAGAGGCTGGGAGCTGCCTTGGTCACAGTTCCTCTCTCCGTGCCTGCTGTCCCTGCCCAGAAGAGGAAGGTGTGTGCTAACCTGACGCTGCAGCACCACATGCTGGAACCCGTGCAGAGGATCCCGCGCTACGAGCTCCTCCTGAAGGATTACGTGCGGAAACTCCCGCCCCAGTCCCCCGACAGGGGCGATGCCGAGAGTAAGGGCTCAGCTCTCCACGGTGGGGAGGGCAGGGTGGGTTTGTGGGGGAATAACAACCCCTGGTGTTGTACATGGGCACCAGAAAACCTGGATTCACTCGCCTGCTGCTCTATGCCCTTGGATAAACCTCTCATTCTGATTCTTTTCTAGCTGGGAAAGGGATTAATCTCCCTTTTCAGGGGCTGGGGAGGGGAAGGGTGGTGTGTCAGGTGTCCACAGTATCCCCTAAGGAGACCTGTAGCAGCTGGGGGAGCTTTCAGACCTCTGTGGATAACACAGTTCCCAGTCCTGCTGGGATGGAGGGATGCAGGAGTGGGCTGTCTGTCCCTCCAAGACCCCTCCATGTGCAGTCCAGCTGTACCCAGACTCCTGCACAGCATTTCAGGGCCACTTTGATTGTGTTCATGGAAGGGCAGCAGCTGCTACTCATGTTCATCCATAAGGGACAGAGCCAGAAGCTTCCTCCCACAGCTCCAGAGCAGGTGTTTCACCTCCTGTCTGTTCTCATTGCAGAGGCCCTGGAGATGATTTTTATGGTGGCCAAGCACTCCAATGCAGCTATTGCTGAGATGGTGAGGCCCTGTCCCAGCTGGAAATGCTTTGCAGCTCACTGCACAGTCCCCCTGAAGGGGACAAGAGCCCTGTGGGTTCAGCTGTGGAGCTTAGACCCCGCACTTAATGCCCAACCTCACCATCCCAAGCCTGGGGAAGTCCCATCTGTAGCATCAGCTGGGGTGTGACCAGCTGGTCACGGCTGGGAGCTGCTCCCAAAGATCAGTCTGGGCTCAGAGAGCTGTGCTGCCTCTCCCAGTACTCAGCAACAGGCTGGGAGGTGGGCATGGAGGGGACCCAGCTGTGACAGGGTTGTGGCTGCTCAACACCCCACAAGAACAGGTCCCTGTGCCTCCCCCAGGAACGGCTGCAGAACCTCTGGGTGGTCTATCAGAGGCTGGGCCTCGAGGATGACATCGTGGATCCCTCCAATGAGCTGATCAAGGAGGGGCCAATCCAAAAAATCTCCACCCGCAACAACAGCACATCGGAGAAGTACCTGTTCCTGGTGGGAGCTGGCATGCCTGGGGCAAGGGGAGGGAGCAGATCAGGTGGGAGTGGGGAGAGGGGCAGCACAGCCTGGCCAGGGTGTTGCTGGGTCACCTTGACACAGAGGCGATGAATTCAGAGCTGAGGGGGGAGGGTTTGACCCTGCTCAGTGTAGGGTACCCTGTGCAGGGCACGGTTGGGAATCTGCTGATCCCTGGGCATGGCAGCCCTGGGAGATGCTGCACCTTTGCAGGGTGGGAGGGGGCTGAGGCAGAAACAGTTTTAGGTGGGATTCTTCCCAAGGACCAGCTCAGCTCTGGGGAGTGAAGGACCCCAGACCCCAGGGAAGCCCACAGCTCGGAGCAGGCAGTGCTGGGCTCCAACCCATCCTCTTCTCCCCTGCCAGTTCAACAACATGCTGCTGTACTGCGTGCCCAAGGTCATCCAGGTGGGCGCCGAGTTCCAGGTCCACCTCCGCATGGATGTGGGGGGCATGAAGGTCAGACAGACACCTTGACTTTGTGCTTCCCCCAGCTCCTGCCTGCTCCTGACTGCTCTGGAGTGTGGCTGCTGCCTGAATTTCCTCAGGAGGGAGGGAGGAGGTGGAGCCAGGGGTGGCTTTGTGAATGGGGTTGATACTCTGATCCTGGGAAATGCTGGTGAAATCTTGTGCCTGTGGGATCTGAGGGGCTGAAGGGCTTGTGCCAGAGGGACATCCCTGTGCCCCACATAATGGAGAAAGGTCCAGGTGTGTTGGAAGTGGGTTCAGCTGCACATCCTTTCTCTGGTCTCCCATAGGTGCGGGAGCTGAAGGACGCTGAGTTCCCTCACACCTTCCTGGTGTCGGGAAAGCAGCGGACACTGGAACTCCAAGCCAGGTAAGGGGATGGGTGAAGTCATACAGACCCTCAGGGACGAGGGACAAGAGCTCATCCAGGTCCTTTTTGTGCCCAGGTCTGGGGAGGAGATGGACGACTGGATCAAGGTACCACCAAGTGCTGGGAGAGGGGGCACAGCCCCCAACCCAGCTGGATGCCGTGGGTCAGGGTACTCCCAGTGCCCCTCCAGCCCTGCCTTGCCCTCTAGGCCTTCCAAGATGCCATTGACAGGAAGGAGAAGAGGAGTGAGACCTTCAAGACAGCAGTCCATGGACTGGAGACAGACACCCCTGCACTGAAGGTAACCCTCCTGCTCTCCCTGTGCCCCACCTGGGAGAACACACCTTGCTGTTCCTGTTTCCCAAGCTAAACCGACCTGGGGGGAGGCTGAGGACTCCCAGACTATGGTCTCCCACCCCAGACAGAGGAGCTGGGCCGCCGAGCCCCACAGTGGGTGCGGGACAATCTGGTGACCATGTGCATGCGCTGCAAGGAGCCCTTCAACGCCATCACCCGCCGGAGGCACCACTGCCGAGCCTGCGGATATGTGAGCCCCCCTCCCTCCCTCCCTCCCTCCTGGCCTGCTCGGGTGGCTGCTAGGCCAGGAGTGCACCTTGCACCCCTTTCCCAGGCTTAGGGCTGCTCCTGCCCCTCAGCTCCTCGTGGAGCTGTCGCTGGGTCCCCTAGCCCTGCCCCAGCATCACCAGTGTCCCTGTCCGGTGGCTGCAGGTGGTGTGTGCTCGCTGCTCTGACTACAAGGCCGAGCTGCAGTACGACGGGAACCGCCCGAACCGCGTCTGCCAGGAGTGCTTCATCTTCCTGACCGGCCACACGCTGCTCGAGGACCGCGAGGGGAAGCACAAAGGCATCCTGGAGGTGAGCTACACCCCGCTCTGCCCTTTGAGCACTGCCACCCACCCCGGTCTCCAGCCTCGCTGTCCCAGCCTGGCCCTGCACCCGCAGCAGGAGGGGTGGGAGTCACTCCCACGGCAGCCAGAAGGTGCATGTGGTGATCTCCCTCCCTCGTGCTCCAAGCCTTGGGACCGCACAGCCAGGGCTCCCTTCACCACAGGATGTCAGCAGCGCCGTCATAGCCAGGACAGCCCCTCACTTGCCCCTGCTTTGGGGAGGTTTCCTGGAGTGGGCAGGGAATTCCCCAATAAATTATCTCAGCTCGGTGCCCTTTCTATTGAGGTATTGAGGGATTTGTTGGTTGTTTTGGCAGAAAGGAGCTGCAGAGGTATCAAGCAGGAGTTTGCTCTGCAGTTCCCTGCAGCTGCTGGACAAGAACGGCAAGGGGGCCACGCGGGGCTGGTTCGTGATCCCACAGGACGACCCCCTCGTGCTCTACATCTATGCAGCCCCCCAGGTGAGGCCTGGCTCGAATGCACCCGCAGGGGACATCTCGCTGTGCCCAAGGGACATCCCTCGGTGCCCAAGCCAGGGGACATCCCGCGGTGCCCAAGGGACATCCCGCTGTGCCCAAAGGACATCCCTCGGTGCCCAAGGGACATCTTGCTGTGCCCAAGGGACATCTCGCTGTGCCCACCCCCTGCCTCCCACCACTGTCTCTCTTCTTGGCAGGACGTCCGAGCCCACACCTCCATCCCCCTGCTGGGCTACCAGGTGCGGGACATGCCCCAGAGCGAGTCCCGGCACCTCTTCCAGCTGGCGCAGTCCCGGCAGGTGTTCACCTTCGTGGCCGACACTGAGGAGCTGAAACAACGCTGGATGAAGGCCATGGCGCGCTCTGCTGCGGGGATCACGGACCCGGAGGAGGAGGAGGATGCAGATGAAGCAGAATGATGCCATTCCCACCCCTGCGCTGCCTGGGGGTCACACCTCCCCTGCCTGCTCTCGCAGCTGGCTTTGGGCAGACCCCCGACATCGCTGCATTCTGGTTTTCCATCGCGACAGGGGCAAGAAGGGGACACGTTTGCCAGCACACGGACAAGCTGGATGCCTTTTCTGTCCCTGGGCAGAGCAGCTGGGAGCAGCGGGAGCGGGGATTTGGGGAGCCCGCGCCCCGCAGAGCCCGGCCGGGCGCGGTGCGGTGCCGCCGGCGGCCGCGCGAGGGCAGCACCGGCCCGTCCTTCCGCGGCCGGGCGGGGAGCCCGGGCCGGGAGAGCCCGTGGGACCGGGACTGCGGGGACAAACCCCTCCTGCGACCCCTCTCTGCGCTCCCTGCAGCCTTCTTTGGGCGTCCGTTTTACAGAGAGCCCCGTGGGATTGTCCCCGTGGCTCCACATTGCCGTATATGTCACAAATATATCAGGGATCCAGCTTGTAGCTCAGCCTCACAGCCCAGAGACATCAGTGCTGGGTTCAGATGTCCCTTTTCCAGCTTGTCGCCACTCCTGGCCTCACACTGCAGTCCCGTGGTATGGGGGTACCCCTTAACCACAGACAGCCCTCACCTGCCTCACTGAGCCAGCCCACGCTCCTGCCCATCCCAGACTTTCCCTGCACTCTCCTGCCCACAAGCACTTTCCACCCTTGTACCTCCCTCAGTTACATTTCCAGGGGGAAAACCACTCTGGGACAAGGTCATGTCCACACAGATGATGCTGGGAAAACACGGGGGATCCCCCTCTCTATCATCAGCATAACAAGCACCCCTGTTCATTCAGTCAGTGCTTTAGGCTGCAGTCCCACATTTTTCTCTCTGCATCCTCTTTAGCTCCCCAAAAATGTTGCCCAGGCAGAAGCTGTCACTTGTGAGCCTGCCAGGGGCTCATGCCCAGAGCTGGAGGAGCCCACGATCCCTGACAGGGAGGGCTTGCTGCCTGGACCATGCAGCAGCTCCGGCAGAGCCCAGGGGTGTCACAGGCTGGACAGATCCCTGCAAACTGGGAAGGGAGGTGGAGCAAGGCACTGCAAATAGGAACAACACCTGGGGAAAGGATGGGGGGTAAAGATGAATCACAGCTGTCACCACTCTGGGGGGCTTTGGGGAGACAGGAAAAAGCTGTGAGCAATGTCCTTCCTCAGTCTTCTCTACTCAGCTCATCCTGGGAAAGGCCAAACTGTGGTGGCTTCATCTCTTCCAGCTCAAGAGATCCTGTCAAGGAAGGGGGAAAGGAGGAGCTGCATGTCAGGGCGAGAGCTCTGCCAAAGCAGTTGCTCTCAGGGTGCCATCTGAGCCCAGATGCAAACAGCACAAACAGGGCTTTCCAGAGACACCCCAAAACAGCCCTCACCTCCCACCGTCACCCCGTGGGAAGGGGAAACCCCTTCCAGCAGCCCTGGAAAAGCCAGGGAGTGCAGGGTGCTGCGGGGAGGAAAGAGTGAGCAAGGGGAAGCCCGCGGGGCTGGAAGGTTCTGCGTGGTGGCCCTTCCACCTCGGCGTCACCGCTGTGTCAGTGAGGAACAAAACAAGCCCCGAGCAGGGAGCTGCCCTCAGCTCAGCTCGTGAATGGCCTAAGAATAAATTTCCTGTTTACCCAGTGAGGAATTGCTCCTAGGGCAGAGGGCACCTGGGGCTATTTTTACCAGCTCCTGTTCTCCTCCCTCCTGACCCCCAGCACCCTCAGGACCACTGCAGCACCCATGAGTGCCTTAAAAGGGGGCTGACCCAGAGGAGAGGTGGCCCAGGGAGGGAGGGAGTGGCAGGACACTAGGGCAGGCCACTGGCATGGCTTTGGCATTGTGCCACCTTCAAAGACAGGGAGACAGCATCACTGCCCTGAGCATCCCAAAAAAGGGGAGTGGGAGACCAAACTTTAAGGGGTTTTGCATCATTCCCCAAATAAAAAGATTTTTACAGGTGCAGAGAATACAGTGATGAATTTTCCCTGCCTGTCCTGTCTCAACCCCCAGGCAGTGCCACAGCAGTGGTCAAGCAGAGCAGTTTGGCCTCCCGCCTCCAGAACAGAAAGTGAAACCCCGGTGCAGAAGCCACAGTTTCCTATTCTCGAGAATGGGGAAGGCTCAGAGGCCATTTACTGGCATCCCCCCGCGGGCCCCTCCACGCCTCTTCCCGTAAGCACTGACCAAAATACCCTGTGAAACCCACAGTGCCTGTGCTGGGCCGGGACACCCACCACGGAGAGCACCCAGCCCGGGCCCAGGGCAGCCTGTGTCCCTGCAGAGGCTCCACTGTCCCGTGCTCATCCCAAACCCCGGCTGGGTACCACACCTCCAGTGCTCATCCCAAACCCCAGCTGGGTACCACACCTCCGGTGCTCATCCCAAACCCCGGCTGGGTACCACACCTCCCATGCTCATCCCAAACCCCGGCTGGGTACCACACCTCCGGTGCTCATCCCAAATCCTGGTTGGGTACCACACCTCCCATGCTCATCCCAAACCCCGGCTGGGTACCACACCTCCCATGCTCATCCCAAACCTCGGCTGGGTACCACACCTCCAGGGCATGTCAAGAGGTTTGAGGGCATGAAGGAGTAAAGGAGGTGGCAGGGGCACAGTTGTGGTCCCCCCTTGCAGGGCTCTGTGCAGTGCAATCTCCCCCTGATCCCCAAGAAAGGGCTCAGCAGGGCCTGGGCTGGTGCCCCTCGTGTGTGGCGTGGGATGAAACCATGTGGGCCTGTAGAACCCCACAGCTCCAGCCTGCAGGGCTGCTCTGGGGGCTGCTCTGTGGGCTCTGGGCTCTTGATCCATAGGGACAGGCTCTGTTGGGGGGTTCTCGACATGCTTGGCTGTCCCCCTCTTTGGGGACTGTTCCACTGGGCATGTTCTCTCGCTCACTAATTGCAGGTCCCTCTGCACTACATGGGATGGGGTTTTGTGCTCTTTAGGGACTGTTCTGCTCTGCTGGGGCAGCAGATTTTGCTCTATAACCCCTGGGCTTTGCTCATATGGGTGCTGGCTCCCAGCCCCACATAGTGCTTGTAGGTGTTGAGCTCCATAGGTATTCCCTGCAGGGGCTGTGACCCACAGAGTCCCTGCTCGGGGACAGCACATCCCTCATTGTGAGATTTTGGGGCACACATCCCTCATTGTGAGATTTTGGGGTGCGCACCCCTCACTGTGAGATTTTGGGGCGCACATCCCTCATTGTGAGATTTTGGGGTGCGCACCCCTCACTGTGAGATTTTGGGGCGCACACCCCTCATTGTGAGATTTTGGGGTGCACACCCCTCACTGTGGGATTTTGGCGTGCACACCCCTCCCTGTGGGGCAGGGGGCACTCCCCCCTGGCTGAGGCATTTTGGGCAGCTCTCCGCAGCGCCACGGTGCCGGAGCTGCAGCAGCGCAGCCTCTGCAGCCCACCGGGGCTTCCGCTGCTCCCGCCAAGCGCTTTAAATAATAAATAAATGGAGTTGAGAGGCAGCCACAGCAGAGCCCTGCCCCGGGGCATCGCTCCCGCCGTGCCAGGGCTGCGGGGACACGCGGGAACCCTGCGTCCCCTGAGTCTGGGGGCACCCGCTGCATGCGGGGGGATGTAAGGTGATGCTAAATGATGGAAAATATTGGTGATATAACCCCCCCTTCAAATAAAAACCCACAGCCAGGATTGTGTAACCTTAGGACTGGGGTACCCCAACCTGCTCTTCACCCCCCAAGTCCCTCAGGGAGCAGCTCAGATGCGGAGGGGGATCCCAGCATCCACCCAGCTGCACCCCATTTTTGCAGCGCACAGGCTGCTGGGGGTGTCCCCCTGCTTGGGGCAGCGTTTGAGGGGGGGAAGCTTCCTCCTGCTTTTCGGAGGCCCCCGCAGGTGCCGGCAAAGCGCATTTCGTGCAGTTGAGAAGCAGGTCGTGCATCCCGGCGTCTGGCGAGGCGGGAGGTGTTTCCCGGTGGCGCAGGAATTTGCTGTTTGCGCCTGTGTTGCAGGAGGTTGGGGGAAGGAAGAAAGGGGCGGAGGTGGTGGGGGGGAAGCTGGCAGTTGTTATTATTTAATTTTATTTTCCTTCCTCCATCCAGGAATCTCTGCAACGTGCCGGCTGCTCCCCGGGAGGCTGGGGTGGCCGTGAGTCACTGCTGCCGCTGGAACGTGACTCAGTCCTGCTGCTCTGCCGGCAGGACATGACCAGACTGCCAAAATCCGGGAGAAGCCCCAGCTCCCATTCCCGCCCGCGCCGGCGGGCGAGGACACGCGAAATCCCCTCCCCAGGGAGACGGCAGCCCCTTGCCGTGGGGCAGAGCTCGGCATGGGGGGCACAATGGGCTTGCTTATTTATTTATTTACTTTATTTATTTATTATGTTTTCATTGTCATCTCATTTTTTTATTATCTTTTCATCTTTTTCATTTTTTTCCTAGGAAAACCCTCTCCACCCACTCTGGCTCACCTGTCCATGCATCGCCGTGGGGCTGGGCTGGGGGGAGTCCCTGGGGTTTTGCTTCCCCATTTTCCAGGCTCTATGGGTGAGCAGGGAAAGCTTCTGGCACGGTTCCTGCCCTAGTTCCCGTGCCTCAGTTTCCCCATCCGGTGGGGAGTGGAGATTTCCCCATCAGGACAGGGGTTACTTCAGGTTGTGCTTTGAGGCCAGTGAATAGCAGCTGCAGGGGGTTATTATTAATATTAATTAATAGCCAGGCTCGGTCGGGGCTCAGGTGGCAGGGAGGGAGCGATGAAGCAGCCCTGAGTCACAGGGCAGGAGCAGGGGTGGCTCTGCCTGAGCCCTGACACACTCACTGCACCCCAGAGTGGCACAGCCAGGGCTGGGTGATGCCGGCCGTGAGCCCTCCTCATCCTCACACTGCTGCTGCTGGTGGGAGCGGCCTCGAGGAGCAGGAGGGCAGCGGGGCAGCCGCGGGCAGCGCTGAGCGCCGGGAGCCGCCACGGCTCGGGCCCGCCGTGCCCCGTGGCCGCAGCTGCCTCTGTCAGCCGTGATTGAAAGCCAAGCCGGCCTGGCAGGCCTTCTCTGTGATCTTGTTAATTAAGAAATACATTTAATTAGCAGCACCCCAGCTGTGACTCAGCTAATCATCATGATCGAAACAAGAGCCGGACTCCAGCGCTGGAGCACGGAGCCACCAAACCCCCTCACCTGCCCCGGTGAGTCCCTGGTTCTGCCCTGCCCCATCACCCACCAGGCACATCCCAGTGCCCTCCTGGGGTTTTGGGGTGAGTTCCCCTCTGCTGGAGGCAAATTTGGTCTGAGACTGTCCCCATGCAGCACCTCACACACGCTGGTGTTGTCCCCACCCAGGGCAAATTACCCATCGCCAAACGGCAAATAATCATATTAATAACACACTTACCAGGCTATAAATAGACTTGATAATAACACCCTGGGTTTTCCAGGAACGGATTGTCAAAAATGTGGGGAAAACCATTCCCTGTCGCCTGGGTTGCATATGGGGAAACTGAGGCAGGGTTGGTTTCGGGCATGACTCTCACCGAGTGAGTGTCTGCCAGGCAGCTGTGGAATTTGCTCCTGAATAAACTGTCATGTAAATGAACCCTTATGTATATTTATAGGAACCATCCTGCCAGCTGGAATCTAATAGGGGAGAAAATAAACTGGGAAACTGCCTGGAACAGGAGGGCGGTGCCTCACACATCAGCCCCATGCCCCGCTGGCACTGCCAGGGGTGAATGTCTGTCTGTCCCTGTCCCCAGGGTGTCTGTCCCTGGTCCTGGGAATCCTGCCCTGCATCCTGGGGTACCCAGCTCTGGTCCTGGATGCTGATCCCTGCGCTCTGGGATGCCCAGCCCTGCACCCTGGTGTACCCAGCCCTGGCCCTGCGTGCCCAGATCCTCATGTGCCCGGATCCTGGGGTGTCTGGGAAGCAGCCACCGAGTGCTCTGTAG